TAGTGAGGGAATCAAATCTGGTGTTCCCTTCACGTCACCTGACATGTTTTGACATCAAATTTGGCATGGTGAGGCCTCTGGACTTCAGTCCCTCTGCATCAGTCTTCTATTCCACTGAATTCTCAGCTCCCAGTCTTTAAATTTTTAATTGTAGGTTTTGAGTGTTCCCTCAAGCTTTGATGATCCTTTGTGCAAACATTCCATCAGCTGTTGATGCCCACAGGTTCCTAACCAATAAAGATCATCAATAGTATTTTGGTGATAAACATTGGATTTCCATTCTAGACTGGCCTTACCTAATTATTTACTTTCCCCTGCACAACAATCCAGGAGTAACAGCTTCTTCACATCCATCAAAACCAGGAACTTTTTCTGCAACTCTTTAGAATACCAGACCTTTTTGATTTCATCATCTTGAAGAACTGTTCAATAGCCATATTAAATTGATCATTATAATTGGTTGAATAGTGGACACTTATTTGGCTTGGCATTGGTGTTTAAAATTAACAATGTATTTTTCAGACATTTAGCAAGAAAGATTAACTTGGGCAGGATTTGAACCAGCAACATTATCTAGATGCTAATACACTATAATAGAAGTTCAGCCTTTACCAAATATGCTACCAAGTCTGTGCCTGATGTGTTGATTTTTGGGAGTATGACTTGATCTCTTTTGGATACATAGGCTCACAGAATTGAGCTTCACACAGGACAATATGTTTTTAAGACAATTTGGATTGAAATATTTCAAGAGTTGGCATGTGAAACCATCTGGTATTGAGTCGCAAGTTTTTGGGCCACATTTGTGCATGTGTAATGTGGTAATCCTGCTTTTCACCAGAAAAATTCAAAAAGCTTCTTGTGGACTCACCAAATCAGCAACGTCACTCCATATTCATACTCATAAGCCCATTTTACTCTATCACCCACTTAAAACATTGATTAATTCCCCATAGATCTCATGATAAACCAAAATTCTGATTTTTAAAAGGACAGAAGACACATGACCAACAGAGCAGGAGACCCTCACATTCACCCAGACATCATTATACCTGTCAGCCTACCTGATGCCAAGGAAGGTTCCTTCTAGCTACAGGAGGAGCAAAATAGTCCAAGAACTTTA